ACGTACTACATCGGTTCACTCTCCGTATGCTTGTCTATACAGGAAAATGAACTGGCCAACACATTACAACGTTTTATGATATCATTGTTTTCCACGCATTTATTGGCTGTTTTTGCTGTGATTTTCCGTGACTTTGCTCCAGACAGGTCCTCCAAGACTCTGTCAGAAGCAACCCTTCTCCAGGGAAGCTATTGTTTATGGCGCGCCCGTGTGTATGCGTGTGTGTGTGTGTGTGTGTGTGTGTGTGTGTGTGTGCGTGTGTGCGTGTGTGCGTGTGTGTGTGTGTGTGTGTGTGTGTGTGTGTGTGTGTGTGTAAAATCACCTAGTTGTACTCACCTAGTTGAGGTTGCAGGGGCCGAGTTCTAGCCCCTGGCCCCGCCTCTTCACTGGTCGCTACTAGGTCACTCTCCCTGAACCGTGAGCTTTATCATACCTCTGCTTAAAGCTTATGTATGGATCCTGCCTCTACTACATCGCTTCCCAATCTATTCCACTTCCTGACTACTGTGTGGCTGAAGAAATACATCCTAACATTCCTGTGATTCATCTGTGTCTTCAACTTCCAACTGTGTCCCCTTGTTGCTGTGTCCCATCTCTGGAACATCCTGTCTTTGTCCACCTTGTCAATTCCTCGCAGTATTTTATATGTCGTTATCATATCCACCCTATCTCTCCTGTCCTCCAGTGTCGTTAGGTCGATTTTCCTTAACCTCTCCTCATAGGACATACCCCTTAGCTCCGGGACTAGTCTTGTTGCAAACCTTTGCATTTCTCTTAGTCTGTTTACGTGCTTGGTAGGTGTGGGTTCAAACAGGTGCCACATACTCCGATATAGACCTGACATACACGGTGTACAGGGTCCTGAACGATTTCTTACTGAGAAGTCGGAATGCTGTTCTTAGGTTGCTAGGCGCCCGTATGCTGCAGCAGTTATTTGGTTGATGTGCGCCTCAGGAGATGTTCCCGACTTTATACTCACCCCAAGATCCTTTTCCTTGAGTGAGGTTTGTAGTCTCTGGCCCCCTAGACTGTACTCCGTCTGCGGACTTCTTTGCCCTACCTCAATCTTCATGAATTTGCACTTAGTGGGGTTGAACTCCAGGAGGCAGTCGCTTTACCAGGCCTGTAGCCTGTCCAGATCTCTGTAGATCTGTCTGGTCCTCGTCCGATTGAATCCTTCTCATCAACTTCACATCATCTGTGGTGTGTGTGTGTGTGTGTGTGTGTGGTGTGTGTGTGTGTGTGTGATGTGTGTAGTGTGTGTGTGTGTTTGTGTGTCTATACAATATGTAAGTTATGAGTGTACATATAAATTTACCTGTAAGTTCCTCTTCCATTTTTCTCTGATGGTCTTACCTGAGACTCACTCGGTGTCTGTGCCACCCACACCAGGTAATCCCACCGTCTAGCCAAGATCGACTGTAGTTGTCTTCTGTACACATACACACAGTGCGTACACACCAGCCTATTTCATATACCTTTGCTGGAATTTTGAAGATAGGTCTCGTATAAGCCTTCTATATACGTATATGATTTTTCATATACTGTTAACCTATTGATGCCAAGTTTTTCCCCAATAAAGTCTTCAATATTTCCTCGTTCCGAGGGTATTTATTCTGCTATTTACCATTACCATAACTGGATTAATTATATTCTACCCTAGATGATGTTCACCTAGCAGTAAGTAGGTACCTGGGTGTTATTCATATTACACCTGTTGTCCATGTTCACCTAGCAGTAAGTAGGTACCTGGGTGTCATTCACCTTACACCTGCTGCCCATGTTCACCTAGCAGTAAGTAGGAAACTAGGTGTTAGAAGACTGGTGTGTGTAGCATCCTGGTGGATGGGAACATACCTTAGAGAGCTGATCGTTTAAATGAACTGAGTTAGGATAACAGCTCTTGGCCTGTAAAACTGATCTCAATAAAAAAAAGGAAATAAAAATTCTATATTAATTATGAAGAACTGTACAAGTACTGAGGTTTTTATTTTTTTCTCCAGTAGGTCAAAAACCGCTAAATATCAACTGAAATATTGCCTCTGTTTATACACTTTAATTACTGCTGTTGTGCACTTGGTTCAGTCTCCCAGTAAAGTACAACTGTTTCTGACGTTGTTTAATAATGGTACAGGTGTTTCATCTGTTTATGAATGGTATACAAATACCGACAAGCTGAAGACTTAGACACATGTGCAACATCTGGGTAACTTTATCTGTAGACATTTCGCCCTCCAAATGCTGCACAGGTGACTAATTCTTCTATATTTCACTTGTTTGTGTACAGGAGTTACTGGAGCTTACCTGGAGTTTACCTAGAGAGAGTTCCGGGGGTCAACCCGCGGCCCGGTCTGTGACCAGGCCTGGTAACAGATCTGGAAGAGGAGTTACAGTGTGACAGGTGATGTGCAGCCTTAGTGACCATCGTGTAGTCGACAGCCTTCAAACCAATCCGATTAACTAAGGTTAATCATACAACACTTCAAAGTGGAAACTTTAAATGCCAATTATGACGGAAGAACTCACAATAAAACGCGTGATTTGCAAATATATAAAAAATACAACAGTGAAAATAGGAAACAAGACACAAGCGCTTTCATGTAACTTAACATATCTTCAGAGAAATGATAACAGACATTTTTTAACTATGGTATTTTTACATCACCAATATATTTATTTTTAAATGGGTAGCCAAACAAGCCAGGGAAAATTTCGTCCAGGTGACCAAACGCTCCACTGAGCGAAACATCGTGTGACTAACTAAAATATAGAGGAAGAAACAACGTATGTTTTGCTTTAAACTTAAGTGTATCTTAAAGAGTGAGCACTCGGCTCACAACCCCAGCGCACCAAGCTCGATTCCCGGGAGACATACCAGCAAGTTTTCTTACAATAGATGTTCCTGTTTACCTAGCAGTCACTAGGTACCTGTGTGTTAGTCGACTGTTGTGGGTTGCATCCTGATGGGCTGGTAGATTAACTTAGATATATCTAAGGTTTGAGGTAAGTTGAGGCTCGTCAACCAGCTACTTAATATATTATATATTATTGATTTCCAGAATGCCAAGGAGATGAACAAGACACATGAGCAACACCTAAGTTTCTTTATTGTGGCGATGTTTCGCCCGCCAGTGGCTTATCTATCCATTACTGAGAATAATACTGCAGACGGTGCAAGACGTGAAGCGGCAGTTTGAGTTCACCAGTCCCTCAGCCTTGATGAATCTGAGACAGTGGAAGGCATGAAGCAAGAGTATGAGGGGATCAGTCCCCCATGTCTTTTATTCATCTACGTGTAGGATTAGTAAACCATTAAATATATAATACTTGTCTGACACAGGTACATCTTAGGATTTTGATACAGGAAATTCTACAATTCTACGCCTACAACTCTACGCCTTCCTGTCCTCTGTCATAACCTACTTCCAGTAATGGACCACGCCCACCTGTGAGGCCGTTATCACCTTTCCTACTTTCACCCCAAAAGTTTCCTTGAAAAGCCGTTTACTTTAGATTCATCAAGACTTTTGGATGGATCGCCTCTTTTCCAGGCTGAGGGACTGATCCCCTTAAACTAACTCACCACGTCGTCCACAGTGTATTCCAGATTTATCAAGGCTGAGAGACTGATCCCTTAAACTAGCTCACCGTGTTGTCCACAGTCTCTTCCAGATTTATCAAGGCTGAAGGACAGATCTCCTTAAACTAGCTCACCACATCGTCCACAGTCTCCAAACAGTTCATCAAGACTGAGGGACTGATCACCTCAAACTACTTCGTCACGTCTACCACAGTCTCCAAAATATTTATCAAGACTGAAGGAATGATCACCTCAAACCACGTCTTCCACAGTCTCCAGTATTATTCTCAGTATTGGACTGATAAAGCCACTGGTGGGCGAAAAGTCCCCACAATGAGGATACCTAGGTGTTTCACATGTGTCTATTCATGTTAGTTACATAGCAACATCACTAGCAGCAGCTTCAACATCAATGTACCTCATGTATCGTCCACGTTACCTTGTAACAACAGTGGTAGCACTTGTACCGTCACTCTGTGGCTTATCTGCCGCAATTGTTACATAGAAATCACAGCAGCAACTGTGCCATCATTCTGTGGCTTATGTACCGTCTATGTTACACAGCAACAAAGGAGCATATGTATTATCATTACGTGGCTTATGTACCGTTTGTTACATAGCAACTACGGCAGCTACTGTACCATAAATCTGTAACTCATGTACTGTGTATGTTACATAGAACAAGAGCAGAAACTGTGCCATTATTCTGTGACTTATATACTGTTTCTGTTACATAGCAATAACAGTAACTGCTGTAACACTGTTATGTGGTTCATGTACCATCTAAGTTACACAGCAACATGTTACACAGTAACAACAATGACACCTGTTGTTCCTGTGTAACACAGACATGTTGCTATGCAACATATACCGTCTATCTTACACAGCAACGAGAACAGAAACTGTACCGATATTCTGTGATCTGTGTACCGTTTCTGTTACACAGTAACAATAGCTGCTGTACTTTTATTCTGTGCCTCATATACTGTTGTTGCTGTGTAACGGATGTGTTGCGTAACGTGAACACGTTGCTGTGTAACATAGTCTATGATACACAGCAACAAGAACTGTACCATCGTTCTGTGGTTCAAGTACCGTCTATGTTACACCACTAGCAGAAGTTCCGTCAGTATCAAGTTGACGGTAAGACAGCATGTGTTTCTGAATATGATTGACAGATGCAAACATTATATACGTTTTGTAACAACATTTCGCCCTGTAGAGCTCTCACAAACGTAATAAAGTTCTGCACAGTGAGAAATATTGTCTCAATATAATTTTGTTCCTTATACGTGTCTCTCATGAATGAGAATCTCCCTCAAAAGAAATCAGTTTTAAACCAATGTCAGAGACAGTGGATAGATTGCATTCAACAACCGTCTCTCTGTAACGTATTTTATGAAGCGAATATGGCACTTACGAGCTTCGGTAGTATAGGTTAATATCCAATGGCAGGTGGAGGCGTAGTGGTCAATATTCATGGGATTTATATAAAAGGATTGTAAAAACTCTACGGTCACTACACTTCACGTTTCACTATGAGTCAGGAAGGCAAGACTTGCTAGGATCCGCGCGCGGCCACTGCTCAGCCAGGACTGACTCGAGGTGCGGGACACTAGTACAAGGAGCTCCCTGCTGTGTGTGTGTGTGTGTGTGTGTGTGTGTGTGTGTGTGTGTGTGTGTGTGTGTGTGTGTGTGTGTGTGTGTGTGTGTGAACTCTATTAATTCCTCTCAGTATTTTGTACGTCATAATCATGTAACCTCTAGTCCTTCTGTTCTCTAATCTCGATAGGTTTAGCTCCTCTACTCTCTTCGTAGTTCATACCCCTCAGCTCCGGGACTAAGCTGGTTGCAAATCTTGGCACTTTTCCCAGCTTCTTTACAAGCTTCATGAGATGTGGGTCCCATATTGGTGATACATTCTCTAACATGAACCTGACAGACCGTGTATAGGGTCGTGAATGTCTCCTTGTTATTCAGTTGATGCGTGTCTCAGGTGAGATGCTCGGAACTATGCTCACCCTTACGTCCTTCTCTTTCGACGAGGTTTCCAGCCATTATCCCCCTAGCCTGTACAGTGTTCTGGTCGCCTTGATACTTCTACGTTTTTCGTAACTTTTAATCCTACAGCTTGTCCGGTTCGATTAGCAGTGTTTCCTGGCGTACTTATACTTGTATTGCCCTCATTAATTTCACATCATCTGCGAATAGTGACACCTGTCTGCTTGATTTCCTGTCATGCTCTTGATCCAGTGTAGTGTTTTCCCTGTTTTACCTGCCTGCTCCTCTAGCGTTTGTCCCCGCTTCTTGTGAGGTACTGTATCGAACTTTTTCTTATAGTCCTATAAAAATATACAGTCCACCATCTCTCTCTCCTGCCTAACTTTCGTTACCTTGTCGCAGAACTCCAGCAGATTTGTGAGGCAAGATTTACCGTCTTTAAAGCCGTGCTTGTTGTTTTTTTTTATGATTCCACGTCTTTCCAGTTGCTCCTCTACTCTTCTGATAATCTTCTCCATAACCTTATACACTATGTATGTTAGTGATATTGATCTGTAATTCAGTGCCACCTGTCTGTCCCCTTTATTAAACACTAGGGCAACTTCTATTTTCCAGTCCTCTGGCAGCTGCCCTTTTCCAGTCGACTTGATAAACATAGTTGCTAGTAGTTCACACAAGTCCTCTGCTCCCTCAGAACAAATGGAGAGATGTCTGGTGCCATTGGCTTCGAGGTATCTGGCCAACTCAGAAGTTTTCTCACATCACTTCCTATTTTGTGTATTGTATCCAGTACTCATTTGTGCACGCTTCCTCTTTGACTCCCTGAGAGTGCTCCTGATTCCATTGAGAATACCTTCAGCTCTTCACATACTGGTCATTCCTAGTGAGCTCCTTCCTTCTTCAGCCTTATAACTTCATCCTTCACTGTTGTCTTCCTTCTGATGTGGCTGTACTTCAACCTTGGCTCAAATTTGTCCTTTGATTGCTGTGTCATTTTCAAATTGTCCTCCAGCCTCTCTTCTACCCAGGCATATACATTTCTGGCTCTCCTGCTTGCCTCTCTATTCTTGGTATTCTCTTTCTCCATTGTGTCTTCCATACTCTTGCTCTTTCAATTTTGTTACCCTACGCGTCTGGGTGAATCATGGGCTCAATTTATTCAGTTCCTTTTTCTGCTTCTGGATATGAAGTTCTCTGTCTTCCGGCTCTTTCCAGTTACATACTCCATCCTTTCATTCTCTGTCATACTCATCTAGCTCTCTTTCCCACTGCACTCATCTTGGAAATTACTTTATACCATCATTCTCTTCTCATATAAAGTCAGGTTTGTCACTTGCTTCATATTCTCTGTTTCTCTCTATCTTCACTTCCACAAGATATTCGAACCTGAGTCACTTATAGTGAACACAAGGTCCAGCCTCGCTGGTTCGTCACTTTCTCCCTAGTTGTGTCCCCGTCGTGTTGAACCACCACCACCACCACTACCAAAAGCGGAGCTCTCCGTGTTTCCATTCGACAGTGTGGATCCAGACTCTCCCTGTCTATTTCCTTATGATTAAAGTTTGGCACTGACCATGTGGGATCTTCTAGTTACCTCTGCTATTGTGACAACCATTGACATGATGCTGTCATTATAATCCGGTCTAGGTCTCCTGCTGTTTAGTGGAGGGTTGTACAACACTGTGGTCACGATATGTGTATGTGTGTTTGTGTGACGTGTACACACGTCAGGTGTGAGTGTGTACCACACCGTGTCGTGGTGCACACAATGCCATAAACTTGTACCAACTTAATTATACCACATATCAGCGGCGCTCCACTCCCTACAGGAGACCTCGGCATCAATGTCTCCTTCGACACTTGGAGAACCAGGGAGAGATAAAGACGAAATATACAACAATAGGAGATAAGGGAAAAATGTAGAAATAAGGAAACGAAGATAATTCATAAAGTGAAAAGAGATTTTTATCCTACGTGAAAAATAAGAATAAAAGAAAGAGAGATGATACAAAGAAAGAAATATAGAAGATAGAGAAAAGAACTTAGGATAAATTAGATATTTTTTGAT